CTTTCCATTTGCTGAGATGAGAATTGAAAAGAAAGAAACAGGCCTTTCTTTTGCTACACAAAATGCATTTTGGTACTGGAACTGGACTGGAAAAGATGGAGGGGTACAGTTCTTTCAACAAAAATTTTGAGATAGGAGTAAAATTAGAATTTTAAGTAGTGCCTTAGGTTGCACTAATAAGTGCAGTTTTTCTTCTGCCTTGAAGCAGGAGTGGTGTGGTCTAACTAATATAATTTCCTGACAATTTTCTGCTTAAAAGAAAAATAAATCGGTACTCAGAGTAAAACTGTAAGTTTATTTTGCCTAACAGCTGAAATAGGAACCCAGTGGGAGTAAAGCCTCTAGGCAGAGGCACAGCTACCAACTCTTTGCACAGTGCTGGTTATGGTTAACCAGCCTCTGGGAGACACAGGAAGTCTGTGGGGAACTCGGCACAAGCTGAAGTGTCAAGACACCTATTCTTTTGTCTCAAAGTATTTCCTGAGCTGTGAAGTAATGATTACCCACTCACCACATGGAAGTGTTATGAACACCAATAATTTTTAAAATTAGAGCACTTAAAGAGCGCTGGTGATGGGGGAAGTCCGTGTGTAAAGCAAGGAGGGAGCTAAATTCTTTTGGTTTTGAAGCAAAAAGAGATAATGCGGGTTTTGTAACACTTATTGTCTTTGTGGAGTAAAAATCCAATTTTAATACGACAAAGAGACTGCTGGCTAGCAGAGAAAAGGATTAATGGCACCTCACACTGAGACAGAGATATTTGGAAGTAATTTGTTTGGTCCTGCTGATTCTTGTGGCAGTGGAAAGCTAAGCTGCTTCTCTCTTTAGAAAGCGTGCCCACAGGGAGTGCCAGACAGCTTTTCTGCCGCTCCAAATTAATCATGCAGATTGTTTTTCTGCCAAGATAATATCCTTAGGTACACTTGTAGACTCAAGTAGGTTCTGTTGAGAAGTGAGAGGAGAATTAACAAAATACATAACTATTGTAATAACTGGAATTATGTGGATTCAGTCTAAAAATAGAATTGGGCAGGTTTTTTAAAGCCTGCATTAATTAGTCAGTGATGGGAAAACCAACTAAGTATACTGGTAAATTTTCTACGCTAAAAATAAGTTGTCATCAGCTTCCAGAAAAAGCTACTGATTTACAAGGATACTAGAACAATGCAATTTATCATGATCCCTTTGCTGCATGCAAAAATTACTTGAATATGTCTTTAATGTATTCTTGAATCCCTTCAGTGGCATCCCCTCCCCCAGCTGATGATTTTAAGGATGTGACTAGAAGAATAAAAATCTGTAGGGTAATATTTGTTTAATTACTTCTAGGCCTAGGGCCAGTTGCAATCGCTGATAATGGAAACAATGTCAAAATTGTAAATGATTAATTCAACATTTCCGACAGTATCCTGCAGAGATGTAGCAGACTCTTCCCCTTGTCTTGCAGCTCGGTCATTTCACATCCTGAGCTGGAGGACAGCATAGCTCTGTGTTCATGTGGGAATCTCCCAAAGCAAGAGTGTACTTAAGCAGGAAGAGGGCCTAACGATGACTGATGTCAGGCTTCTCACTAAGCTGAAGTGGTAAGAATTATGCTGCTAAGACTTCTGTTTTATTTTAATCAAATTAAAATTTGTTTTGGTCGCATGGTCTTAATTAGTATACTGTTTGTTTACAAATTTCAAATTTATCTAAGTGCTTTTTGTCATTTAACTAACTTCATATCAATTGCCTTTGCCATTTATTGTGATGAGCTGTGATCTTCTCTGTATTAAGTGACTCCTAGTTTAAGTAAAGGTGAAATACTCATCTCCATATATGTACCTGATACAGGTATGTACTTCTGGTTTTGGAGGAAGTATGGGTTGAAAGCAAACCAAAAGTCAGAAAACAGTCTTGAAAACAGTTGTGCCCTTGTTTAAATTAAAACACTAATAAAGCTGCTGTAGGGAATAGGCTTTGCACTTGAGTTTTTGAAATCCTGTAAAATGAAAACTGTATAAACTGTGTTATGAAGATTTTTATCCTAAACCTCACAGACTTTAAGCTTACATTGTTGTTTCTGTTGTTGTTGTTAAATTATTTAAAAAATTATAATTTGTCCAGAATAGATTTAGAAATACTTGCTGGCTTCCCAGGAATATCGGAAGCAATCATTCATTCCTCCATTTCCCTCTAGTGCATATACATTGTACTACTGTTCCCCAGCCTCTTTTGTTTTCTTCACCTGAGGAAGCAACAGCTGTGGCAGTATCTCAGATATTTGTGGACAGCATCCTTTGAGGCAGATTTTGTGTTAATTCTCTGGGGGTGTTTCTACATTGCACAATGAACCTCCAAGAGCTGAGCTAGTTGAGAGAGAACTGATACAGCTGAGGGGTCCACTGTGCTTCCATGCACGAACGCTAGGCTGGGGCCCAGGAGCAGCGTTACTGTGTACCGTGTCTAACCAGCCTTGCTTCTCCAAGCCTACCTGTTAACTTCTGGAGATGAATAATCAGCCAGACTGCAGTGGTGCTCTGGTGCAATGACAGTGCCCTATCCCAGTGCTGGCTTGTTCAAAGCCTGCTCAGTAATACCTTTTGATTGCTCCTCTTTACATGAGCTCCTAAAAGGCAGGTACAGCTCAGAGGCTGCTGTGATAACACCTGTCCTATTTTACACAGTATTTCAGAACAGCCTCTCAACCTGTTCTGGAGGTTGTGAAGTTAGAATCTCTGTAACATCCCCTAACTCCTGACACTTGCTTTACCTTAGGGCTCGTAAAGGTGTTTTTTGAAGACAGCTGCATGGAAATAAGGAATCCTGTTTGTCCTGGGAAAACCTCTTGTTGCTAGAATTAGGCTTTTTAAGCATTACTGAGAAGCTAAGTATTGTATACCTATGATACTGGCTGCAATTTCCTTTTCCTAAAAAATCACCATAAAACATTCAATTTTCATATATTGCTCTGAATTGAAAACAGATCCAGACATGTTGAGAATGTTGGCCTTGAATAATTTTCAGAAATAGGAGTAATTAGTTAATTCTTAAATTACATTTAAGTAAAGGAACCTGAGGGTTTATGTATCAATCAACCAACCACAAATATAAGTATTTATATTACACATTGAAACTTTCTTGCTGTATGTTTCGTGCAGTGAAAGGCCAGTATTTCAAATCTGTGTGCCAAGTAAGTGCCTGACTTTCAAAACTTGTGAACCTATAGACTTAGAATTTAGGGTCAATTTTCCAGTAGATTAATTTTCAATACTGTATTGGGGCTTCTAAAGTTAAAAATTTTAACTCTGAAGTTGTTGTTCTAGGGTTAATTTTTAGATAACTAAACTGAAACAATTGGAAATACGAGGTTTTCTGAAATGATCAGGAAGTGAAAAATCCTGTCTCTCCAAAAGCTGGCAACAAATTTCAAATTCACTGAAATGATCAGGATTCTCATCTCTGATGTTTAAAGGTTCAGTGTACATTTGTTTCTCAAAACGATGCTTTTTAAATAAAATAACATGCCAGATCAGGCATCTGAAAACAAATGTGCCCAGATCATTGCGTGCTTTTATAAACCTTGGACATGGTAGGGTATGAATTAATGTGTGATTAAAAACTGTTGAAATGCCTCTTTCTAAAATTATTGCATGTGCAGCAATTATAAGTATTAATTTAAAAGAGATGTATTAAAAACCATACAAAATGACCAATTTTAAAATTTTTACTTATCTGTATTTTAAACCTGTGTTATTTCATTATCAACTGATTAAATTTTTTTAAGAATTATATGAAGATTTGTGACAAGCTTGTAGCTAAGCAAAAGGCTGATTGATCTTTACAGCATTTAATGGAAATTATTTTTCCTAACCCTGAAAGGGACATAAATTGAGTGTATAAAAATATACATTTATTAATATTTTTACTTCATTACCTGAATCCTCAACATGTGTTTTCTGCTTGCTGATCATTTTCAGTAATGTATGCAGTCTGCCAACTGAGTTAATGTGCCAGACTTCAGTTGAACTGTGCTCACTGTGGAATTTCAGCATGAGACTCTAAAATCTGTGGGGTTTATGACCACCAACTTCCTAAAACACACAGCATGTGGCACATTTACTCATTTTGTGCATCCTCACGGACTCAGATGCTTATCTTGTGTGAATACCTCTAACCTTTCACTCTGAAAGTTACACTGATCTGTGAGCTCATCTGCTTATTTTGATGTTCTGATGTTAATATTATTCTAATACAATAATTTCATATCCATCTGAAAAAACGTGTGTTTTCCTTTAATATGGAAAACAGAACTAAACCTAAATTAAGTGTGATGCCAAGGAACATTACCTGAAAGGTGACTTGGAAATGAAAAAATGGTTGGATTTCTGTAATTTTTTTTGTTTCATGATATAGAGACTTAGCAGTATTGTTATTATATTGAGGTTTTATTGAGCTTATAAGAATGACTTCTATACAAAAATGAGAGGAAAATCACGGAATGGAGAAGGCTTTCAAAACGTTTCCTTTCTAGTACTGGCTTCATAACACTTCGGTGGAAAAATAATCTTCGACAAGGATTTAACACCTGTCCTTTCCTAGCTGCTGAGGAAACTCCCTGTTACAGTCAACACTATGATTCATCCGACTACTCCACCGAAAATGGGCGCTTTTCTTTTCTCCTGAGCTGCCAGCCTCGCATCTCAGTTTCTGCTTTCCCTGTACACCTGAGGTGTACAACGTAAGGCGGTCGCTGAGTATCCCTCGCTGCCGGGGGGGAGGGTGCGAGGCCGGGCCCCCGCCGTGACTCAGCGCTCCGGGGGCGCGGCGGCCCCGCGGCCGGGCGGGACACAAAGGCCCGGGGCGGCCGCCTGGTTAATCAGTAACGACGCGGTGCCCTCGGCGCGGCACCTTCGCCCCGCGGCCGCTCGGGGCCCGGGGCAGCGCCCGCCGCTCCCGTCCCGGCCCCGCCGCTCCAGCCGGACCCGCCCCTCTCCCAGTCTCCTCCGCGGCTCCCCCTCCCGAGCCAGGCGGAGCTGGAGCTGGGAGCGACGTCGTTCCTCGCCGCCGCCGCCTCTCCCCGCTGACTGAGGGCACCGGCGCTGCCCGGGGGGGACTCGTTCTCCGGCCGCCGCCCGACGCCTCATCCCGCCTGTGCCGCCTGTGCCGGAGCCGGCACTGCCCGCGGAGCAGCCATGAGCTGGGGCACGGAGCTGTGGGTGAGTCCCGGCTCGCCTCTCATTGTGTCTGAGATTCGCCGCCTTCCCTTGTCTGCTCGGGCGGCCGCGGGGCGAGGCGCGGAGCGGCCGGAGCGCAGGCGGGGGCCGAGGCGCGCTGCTTTGTTCGGCGCGGGGGCCGGGCGGGGTTCGGCGCGGGGGCGGTGGGAGCGCCGGGCCGGGGGCCGTGGCGGGGCGGGGGCGCCGCCTGCGCGGCCATGGCGCTCCCGGGGCGGCCCCTCCGCCCGCCCGGGGCGGGACCGGCGCTTTGTGCGCCCCCCGCCCGCCGCTGTGGCCGCAGAGCGGAGCGCTCGGGGCTCGGCCGGCGCTGCGCTCTGGGACGGCCTGGGGCGGGGTCCCGGCGCCGCCCGGGCAGCGGCCGCGGCCCTCACCGGGCACTCTCGGGGCTGTGGGGCCGGGCGGCCGCGGAGCTGCTGCTCCTCCGAAAACCAGCGGGCTGCTTAGGCGAGCAAAGCGTTTTGAGTTGTTGGCCCTCGTTAGAAGCAGCTATTCTATAGCTTTGTCTCTAAAAGTGCCCTCGAACACTGGCTAACACTCCGCTGTATTTGTTTTAAACGCGAAGAATTGGCAGCAAGATGGGCAGTGTGTGCGCGCCAGTGTCTGCCTTGCGTTAGGTCTTTTCTTAAGTCTCCCGTCTCCCTCCACGGGGATATTGGCTGTGCCGAGGGCGGCAGAGCAGGGGCTTCTCCCCGGGGAGTGCCGGAGCGAGGCACAGCGATGTCTGCTCGCAGCGGTGGGATGTTGTATCTCCTCGGCCGGGTTTCCTGCTGCTGCCGCTCTGCCTGGAGCTGACACTGATCGTGGGAAAGCGTGGGCATACAAACCAATAGTACCAAGGAGGGTTTAACGTCCCCGTTTTAAATACCGCCTGCCTTTCAATTTTTTTTGCTTTCAAAGACTGTGAAGCACAGACACTTGTGCTAAGGGGAAAAAAAATTACACAAAGCTAAACATTGCAGATTGACGTCTGTTCAGGGACTCTTAAACTGGACCTAGCTAGCATTATAGTTTTTTGGATTTTTTTGGTTTTTTGTAAAGTTGAATTAAAAACCTTTATCAGCATTTTGTAGTACAGGGCTATAAGTCTCTAGAGGAGCAAAGATTGCTCCACGCCGAGACAAGTGGTTGCCCGAGGAGCCGGGGCAGCCGTGGCGCTGCAGGCAGTGCCTGGGTGGGGCGTAGGGAGCTGGGAACACCGGCGGAGCTCCTCAAGCCACCTGAGGAAGTCGTGTCTGACTATGCAAAATGAAGATGTAATAGCATTGCATCAAGTGTACTGCGTGGATAAGCCTGATTTAAGGGTATTTAAGGGTTATTTTAGTGTTTTGCATGGTACCTTGTACTTACCTAGGATTTATAGGCACGACGAGCATTCAGATAAAATACACTTGGGAGGTACTGATAGCACTGCTGTAACAAGCCTGAAATATAAAACAGTTGTAACATTGATGGTAAGGAGTAAGTAAAAGCTGTGATTTATATTGGCTGCACAAGAATGTATGTGTAGCTCATACTTGTATATTCTTTAGGTGAGAGGTGAAGGTCAGTGTCACTTTAGAAGAGTAGGGTTTGTCATTTGAGGTGACCTGAATTTTCTTCTATAAGCACTCACGTATGTATTGCTTTAGAAAAAAGTTATAACTTACTCCTGTCTGCTAATTTTTGTAGCCTCTTAAATGTATTTTTCATTGTTCAGCTTATAAGTGACAGTTGAAGGTTTTGTAGTCTGTCTAATGTTCAGATGTGCATTTCTTTGTCACGCACTTCAGAAATATATACATAAAGATGGATTTTGACCTCAGACTTCCTTTTAATGATGGGCATTTAATTCGCAGTTTCATGAAGTTAGCTGAAATTTATCTTGGCCTATTAGATTTTTTTTCCCAAATCACTAATTATGTGCTAGTTTGAAGAAATAATGCCAAAATTTGAAGCTAGAAGTTTTACTGCAATACTTTTATTTCAGCAAAATTTAGTATTTTTTTTCCTTTGGTGTTAGGAGCTGACCTTCAACTCCACACTAATGAGGTAACTTTATGCATAAAATGGTCAGTATCTATACAACTAGACTCTGACAATGCACGTTTTTACATTGCAGCGTGCCTTTTAAATGGGTTATTTTTTTCTTATTGAATCTAATCATGGTTAAATCTATCAGTGTTGTAAAGCAAACTGGTTTCTTACTTGGAAAAATATTAAGTGTTTTTCTCACTGACTGTAAAGAGTATGAAACGTTGATTGTTTTAACAACTTGTGCTGGGCACCTAAGGATTACTTTTTCAAGATCTGGCACAAAATTAAATTTATTAAAAATCAACTTAAAACTAGGTTAACACAAGGAAAAACAGTATTTGTGGACCTTCAAAAACAGGGCTCTGAACAAGGAACAAATAAACTATTCGACATGTTTGTGTTTTACTGTAGCTGTTCCTTCATCATGTCCTGTTGCTGCATCAGTGGAGTTTCAGGAGGAGCCTGAGCTGCTCTGGGTTTGCTCACGGCAGCAGGGCACGAGCAGCTTGCTGTGTTCAAAGTTTCCAGGTGCTCAGAGCTGTTCTGCACAGGTTTTCTGGAGACCTCCTTGGGCCTAAGGCTCTCCTTCATTAGTGCTTTCACCTGTTATCATAGAGTGGAATTTTCAGGATACCACTGGTGTCTAGATGATAGTTTGTCTGAACATTTGCAGATATGTATGTATGCATTGCTGATTCCCTGAAGCAAATTTGTTGATTGTGTATCAGGTGTTTTAATATCTCCTTAACTCTGCCTTCTCAAATTGTATGTCTTCACGCTCTTGTTTGGTATTTTATGCTGATTTGCAGTTCTGATGTATTTTTTTAATTGTTCTGGAGTCTTTATACTGTGTGGTATTTCTTATATATATAAGAATATACTGTGTGGTATTTCTTATAAAGTAAAAAGCAGGCATGAATGAATAGAGACAACTAAGAAGCCAGAAGAAAAATCAGGTGATTAGGAAAGCAACTCATGTCTGGTATTTATGTGTTACTTGTTTAATATGGCTGTTCTGTTACTGAAATTATACATATGCTAATTAAATGGTTACATCAGGGACAGGACAAGGGAAAGATATTCTTTGGTTGTCCAGTATTTTTTAATTATTTAAATTTGGGAGCTACTCTTTCTGTTTGTGGATTTTGGTTCTTTTTTGGTTTTTTGTTTCTCAAGCAACTTTTTTAAGTACACCACAATTCTCTGAAGCGGGTGTGCATTGTACAAAACATACATGTCTTGAGTGGGCTAAAGTGCTTCGAGACACTTGGTGCTTTTCAGTGTGTCTTGGCTGAACAGCATGCTCCCTGTTGATAGTGTTGTATAAAGTAGTGTAAATGAATAGTAAAATAAATGTTGAATCCTCTAAGCCATCCTGTCATTAGAACTGTTTCATTCCACAACATTTTCTGTGCAGTGGGAAATATACTCGCCTCTCTCCTTTCTTATTTCAACAGAAAATTCTGATTTGAAAGTAATATTCCTCAAATAGTTTCGTTCTCCTCAGTGTATATATCTTTGTGGTCGCTCTGCAGCATATTCCTTGTGGTATGACCACACAAAACCTAAGACACTTCAGTGAACTGCTTTACATAATATTCGCTTAATGGTTAGAACAGAGTAGGGAGTTCTTGTCTTCTGTACTCCAGTTGAAATTATATTTTCTGAGAATTTGACTGTTGTGTGCCAAAGTTTTCTGTCTGTAATATTTAACTTTTTCTTAGGTAGCATTTGTAAAGCAGTAATCATCTGATGAAAGGGGACACACAATCACGAAGTGGCATTGCTACACTTCATTAGTGATAGAAAATTGTTGTTATTTAGGTACACTTTTCATAATTAACTCTTTGACTTTTTCATGCTTTTTCAAAATGCAGCACACTTATGTTCACCTTATGAGCACTAAGAAGTTTTACACACTGAAGTTGTGGTCAGACTTGCATATTTGCTTTATAAGGTGGCCCTGTCTGACTTCTATCAAACTGTGCTGCAATATCCAAGTCAAGATTAGATGAATGGAACTAAAATTGTGGGTTTTTTTTAGTAACTTTAAATATTTGGAAATAAAAATGATGGATTACGATATGTTTAAGAATCTGCTCAGCATGAGCATCTGTTCAGTGTGTATGTTCTGTACATCTGGAGTTCTGTTTGTGATGGGCGTGAAGTGTACAAATAGCATTAACATAGAATATTTAACAAAATGTCTCTGGTTATTGTCATCTTGAGTTATTGTGCTGTTAAATTGAATATGTAGTGCATTTGCTTTGATGCTAAAGGCTCACTGAACTTTGGAGGCTGGAGCATAGTTGATAATGAAGTTCTTGGCTTAATGAGTGGAGACACTGCGTGATTGGCACTCTGAAGTGGCTTCTTTGGAAATTAATTAAAGAGTTTGTGCTGTCTCTTTAAAAAAAAACCAACAGGAAGGATGTTTTTTGACTGTATATGCACGTTCTGTCTTTCAAACCTCTGTGAACCCCTTAATGGCAGTTGGCAGAAAAAGAGTTTGAATACCATGTCAGAACATTTTCAGTCTGTAGAACCAGTCTAGCCATCTGTTTCTCACCTCCTGATAAATATTTAAAGCAGAAATTTTGCTGAGGGCTTTTGTGCTAAGATTTCATGATTAAAAAAAAAAGGCTGTAGAAGATTTAATGATACCATTGTTGTGAGCTCCTTGGGGCCAGAAGCACACCATCTTTTATAATTAAGAAACCACTGGCACTGTAGAATAGTATTTTAGAAATTAGTTATGTTGGACCAAAGAAAGACCAAAGTATATTTGGTGATGTGCTGTTTTTAATCTTTCTTTAAACAAAATTTATTCTGTGCCTAAACCTTAGTTCTATTTATAAAAATATTAAATTACTCTCAGTTGCATCAGTAATTTTTCAAAAGCTCTTAAAAATATTCTTGTGCTTTCAATGCCTGTTTCAGACATTGTTTCCTTCTTTTAAAATCACGGT